TTTTTATGCAGTCCACATTCCTGACTATTGAACCCTGGAAGTTATTATTTACTGCATCGATCTGATGTTCCAGTTTGCAGAAATACTCGTCCAACGATTTGTTGATTGAGCAACAATCCGTGCAGATGAAATGGTTCGCTAAAAATGCACTGTACCAACCACGTGGAACTCCTAGGCATGTACCATGGAAGGAATTTCTACAAAATCCCTTGCATGACACTACTTCCATGCCTTTAATACCATGGCAACTAGCTGCAGAACATTTGAAATCCATTCTTCGTAATTTATGAAACGAAAATTACCAGCGTGCACTGTATATTTTTTTATTTTGTTTTATTATTTTGTTTTTATTTATTTGATATTTGTTATTTTATTATTATTTCTTTTTTTTAATTGCGAAAGAAAAGAAAGTGTAAAGTGAATAAAATTTTTGTTTTATAATATTTTTAAAAAAAAAATTTTTTAATATTGTTATTGACACAAGGTTATAAAGTTAATTGGGTCAAAGTAAAAAAATTATTAAATTAAATAAAATTAAAATAATGACTCGAGTTGTAAAACTACGAATGACTTTTACGTCTGACCACGTTGAGAACAGAAAACAGAAAATAATTGTTTGTTCAAAATTAGAATAGGTCAAGTACTTAAGAAATAATAATAAGAATAATAAAAAAGAAGAAATCAGAAATTATGATTCTTATGTTTGAATTTAAATAAGTCATAAAATTGCTTAAGTTGAAATTTTAAGAAACATATAATAAATTTTATATTTTATTACTTTTACGACTAATAGAATTTAGTTCTATTATTCTGGATAAAATCTCATTGGTCGGATATATAACTTGCACACACAGACCGACAGACTGACAGGTTGCTAAAAATAGTTTATTTACACTTCCCTACTATGTAGAAGTGCATTCTCACCGAATTCGATATGCAAAATTTATTGCCATCACATAACCTACCTACTGTATACACAATACGGTCGTTAAAAAGAGAATAACATTATACTCAATCATTGGGGGTAATGATAATACCCCCTAACAAAAATTTAAATTATTTACGTAAAAAAGCTAGAGATCTATAAAGAGACAAAAAACTTAAATATATATGGGTGAAGGATGGCAAGATTTTCGTAAGGAAAGAGGACAACTCTAGGGTTGTTAAATTATATGACATTGATTCACTTAATGACGTCTTTCAATGATAATGTAAACAATTTCACGCTGCCATTTTACCCTAATAATAATAAAATTGAATTTTTAAATGAATTATCTTTTTCTAATAGGAACTCACTCAAGATATTATATATTGACATTCGAAGCTTAAAAAATAAAATAGTTGACTTACTTTATATACTTGACAATGCGCCGGGAACTATACATGTGGTTATTCTTTCTGAAACCTGGCTAATGATGACCAAGATTGAATAGATTTACAAAAAAAGAAAAAAACTTTTTGTGATAATTACACTAATTTAATTACAATAGAGATAAAAACAAAAAACAATACAAATTATAACATTACTACAATCTATCGACCACCTGTTTTTTTAAATTACTTGACGATTACTTAATTGAATATAGCAATACTAAGTCACTAATTATTGGCGACTTTAACTTTAATATTTTGAAAGAAAATCACTCACAAATTAATGATTATAAAAACATTATCGAAACGAATAGTTTTTTATTTTAAAACAAAAAATCTACGAGACAGGCGTACAAAACGTGCTTAGATCACATACTAACTAATGATATTAATAACAACATAAATATAACTCAATTAGAATACAATATATCTGACCATGATTTATTATTTATTGAACTGAATTCGCTCAAAATTGCAATTGATGTACCTGATAGAAAATATAGTGTATGCGAAAAGACTAACTATGTTGTATTAAAAACAAAAATAAAAGAGACAGCAATATTTAATTTGGATTATGTATTGTGTGCTGATGAAAAATATGACTCAATTGTAGACTTTATTAACAATGCTGTAGAAAACTCGACGACCACAATTAAATATAATATAAGAATAATAATAAATATAGGAAACCATGGATAGACAATGAATTGATTAAAATAATAAAAACAAAAAACTATTGGTACAAGAAATTCAGGAAAAATTTTGAAAACGAGCAAATTAAAAATAAATATAGATTTTGGTTGAATAAACTAACAAATATGAAAAGAATTAAACAAAGAAATTTTATGAAATGAAATTTAACAATTATAAAAATGATCCAAGAAAAACTTGGAATAATATTAAAGATTGGGCTGTGACAAATAAGAAGTGGACTGATAATAAATTTTTTGATAGAAACATGACTTTAGATGAAAAAATTTCTAAAATAAACAATTTTAATGACTATTATAGCACAATTGGAGAAGTTTTAGCGAAGAATATAAAAAAAAAGGGTTTTTTTTTCTGGAAACATCTTACTAACTGCAAATTTAATTTCACATACGTTACGATATAAAAAATTATATAAAAAAACTTAAGAATACAATGACAAGAGGACCTGACGAAATAACAACTGAAATACTAAAAAAATGTAGTAATGAATTAGCAGCTTATTTAACCTCACTGATTAATAATTCCGTAATGACTGCGATTTTTCCCCAAAAACTAAAAACCAACAAAATAACGCCAATACCAAAAGACATAAATGACTCTAATGTTAGTAACTTCAGACCTATCAATGTATCATCTATAATTAGCAAAATATTTGAAACAGTAGTTAATGACCACCTATCAGCAAACATGGACAAATATGATATTATAAGAATTAATCAATATGGATTTCGAAAAGGAGTTAATACGACATGTGCTATATTTGACATGATGGCTCATATCGAAAAAGAATTAGACAAAAAAAATAAAATAGCAATAGTTTTTTACGATTTCTCCAAAGCGTTTGAAACAGTCGATAAAAAATTTTACTTAAAGTACTGAATAGTATTGGAATAGTTGGCGCGGCATACAGATGGTTTGAAAATTACTTAATTTGAAAAAACCGGTTAAATACGGCGTGGTACAAGGCAGCTCCCTTGGACACACATTATTTTTGATTTATATAAACGAAATAGCAAATATGAATATAAACGGACAGATATATATGTATGCTGATGAATTAGCGATAGTTTATAGCGACATAAATCATAGTAATATACAAAATAAGATAAATGCAGACAACGTGGAAATACTGAAGAAAATTAACGAATTTAAATTTACTATTAATGTTTCGAAAACTAAATATCTACTATTAAGAACACAACATAAAGAAAAACTGGACATAAAATTCAACAATATTAGAATTGATAGTGTAAACCATTACAAATATTTGGGTCCTATAATTAACAAAGATCTAAATTGGAATCAACATGTGGATGAAATTGCTGTAAAGTGTAGAAAAGTAACGGGGGCTTTCAGAAGGATATCAAGTCTGGTCCCAAATAAGATAAAAAGATCAATTTATTACAGCCTGTTTCATTCTAACATATCATATGAATTATTGATCTGGGGAGTAAGCTCACTACAAAATTTAAAAAAACTTCAAACTTTGCTAAACAACGCAATAAAAAATTTATATAATCTAAATAAAACGACGAGCTCTACTTACCTACTTACTACGTTTTATAAGATACAAAGAATATAATATAAACACAATTCAACGTCAGCTTAAAATAGCACAAGTTGATCATATACGAGTATATAAAGTTCGAAATGGTTTGCTAACTTTAAGCACAAATTTTTTACAAGGAACGGAAACACACAGTTGCAACACTAGACACGCTTCAAACTTAAGGACGATTAAAACAGTTTCAAGTAATATCTATAACAAAGCAATATGTGGTTTCAACAAGTTACCATCATGATTTCATACTGCAAGCCCTTGGTTTTTTGAGAAAAAGATAAATTTATTTATACATTGAAATAAAATCAACCTTTTTACTAGTTTTTCGATTTTCGCAATATACAATAATTCTATGCTCTAACTACTTTCAAGTTACTAACACTGTAATTATGTTATTTGTTTTGTTTAATTTGTTTTTTTTTCTTTATTTATATTTTTTCTGTTTTGCATTCTTTTTAACTAAATATGTAAAATATAGTTATGACTATTTATAAATAGTCATATGACAAATAGTAACTAAAACTTTTGGTACCAAAAATTTCTTATTGACTTTCAAGTCAAAATAAACTTTATAAAATTCAATGCAACTTTTTCAAAGTATTTAAGATATTTAAGTTTTATATATAAAAGGGTATTTACTATAGAAAAGTATAAATTATATTTATACAGGTTAACAACATTAGATCAAGTTAAACAACGTGAGTATGGTGTTTTAAATAAGTTTCATATATTCCAAGTATAATTTTATTTTTATAATGTTCTAATAATAGAAAATAATTTTTTCAATTTTAATGCCTTTTTAATTAAGTTTGTTTCTATTTTGACAATAAATAGTAATTTTAAAAGCATTAGTTAGCGACATTACTATTTTGCAAGTAATTATTCATCTGTGTAAAACCTTGCAAAAAAATAATATTTTGTTTTTTTCTTTAACAAGCAAGAAATAAGTGAACGAACATAATATATTATGCACTTATAAACTTAAAGTCACTTATCAACAATTTTAAATTATAAAAGTCAAAAATTAAAATTTACGCTTTTTTATTTTGAACTTTATGTTGATCGTAAATTTTTTAGTTCGCATCAGAAAACCAATTCTCTTCGATTCTCTTCGATTATTTTTGACTATAATTCCTATAAAACAGATTTTTGACAAGATACATTTTTAATCAAATAGCGAACAAAAAACCTATTTATTCAATCATACGACTTATCCAGCCTTTTATCATATTATTCCCACTTAAACTTTTTATCACATATTTATAATATATTATATACGTTATATACGCATTTATGTATAAACCAACATTGTAAACATTTTTTCAAATGTATTTTATATTAAGTGAATAATACTTACCTTTTTCAGCAAATATTAGGAATTCTTTTGCTGTTTCATAAGATTCATCACTTCCAAATTCGTTACGAAGCTGATTATTATAATAACTGCTGCTTTTATAATTATCATCGTTACTCTTTTCATTATTATTAGTTTTATATAAAATATTATTTCTGTGATTATTGATAATTAGATTGTAATAATTTTGTTTCTTTCGTTGACTTTCTTCTTTTTGATATGATCTTTTTGTATTATTGTATTTTATATATATATTACTTCTAAATTTATGAAAATAATAACTCTGATTAATATTATTTTTCTTTCTACCTAAATTTTTCTTACTATTATTATTATTATTATTACTATTATTATTATAATTATTATTTTTATTGTTATTGTTATTGTTATTATTATTATTATAATTATTATTATTATTATTATTATTATCATTGTAATTATAATTATTATTATTGTTATTATCAATATTATTATTATTGTTATAATTATTATTATTATTATTATTATTATTATTATTATTATTATTATTATTATTGTTATTATTATTATTATTATTATTATTATTATTATTATTATTATTATTATTATTATTATTTTTATTTTTATGATAATAATAATAATTATTATTATTATTATTATTATTATTATTATTATTATTATTATTATTATTATTATTATTATTATTATAATTATTATTGTCATCATTATTATTATCATACACATACTTGTTATTATTATCATTTCCTTTGTTAAAACTGTTATTGTTATTATTACTATTGTCTTTATAATTTGTATTTTTATTATTGTTATTATTAGTATGGTTTTCATTGCCACTTGGTTCATAATACGAATTTCGGAAAAAGTGTCCACCATCAATACGATTAACAGTTTCCATAATAAACTGCTTTGGAATTCGCTGCAGTATCATTGGTCGTTTTTCTAAACCAAGTTTTTTTAGTATTTCAAGCTTAATAGATTCAAGTCTTAGCATATCTTCATAATAAACGTCATTACTATTATTTTTAATATGAGCCAAGTTAGTATAGTTGAAACTGAGTTGTTGTTGTAGATAGTTGTTTCGATAGACGAAGCTAAATTCTGGTTCATTTTCTTGTTCTAGTTCTTGTTCTTGTTCTTGTTCTTGTTCTTGTTCCTGTTCCTGTTCCTGTTCCTGTTCCTGTTCCTGTTCGTGTTCCTGTTCCTGTTCCTGTTCCTGTTCCTGTTCCTGTTCCTGTTCCTGTTCCTGTTCCTGTTCCTGTTCCTGTTCCTGTTCCTGTTCCTGTTCCTGTTCCTGTTCCTGTTCCTGTTCTTGTTCTTGTTCTTGTTCTTGTTCTTGTTCTTGTTCTTGTTCTTGTTCTTGTTCTTGTTCTTGTTCTTGTTCTTGTTCTTGTTCTTGTTCTTGTTCTTGTTCTTGTTCTTGTTCTTGTTCTTGTTCTTGTTCTTGTTCTTGTTCTTGTTCTTGTTCTTGTTCTTGTTCTTGTTCTTGTTCTTGTTCTTGTTCTTGTTCTTGTTCTTGTTCTTGTTCTTGTTCTTGTTCTTGTTCTTGTTCTTGTTCTTGTTCTTGTTCTTGTTCTTGTTCTTGTTCTTGTTCTTGTTCTTGTTCTTGTTCTTGTTCTTGTTCTTGTTCTTGTTCTTGTTCTTGTTCTTGTTCTTGTTCTTGTTCTTGTTCTTGTTCTTGTTCTTGTTCTTGTTCTTGTTCTTGTTCTTGTTCTTGTTCTTGTTCTTGTTCTTGTTCTTGTTCTTGTTCTTGTTCTTGTTCTTGTTCTTGTTCTTGTTCTTGTTCTTGTTCTTGTTCTTGTTCTTGTTCTTGTTCTTGTTCTTGTTCTTGTTCTTGTTCTTGTTCTTGTTCTTGTTCTTGTTCTTGTTCTTGTTCTTGTTCTTGTTCTTGTTCTTGTTCTTGTTCTTGTTCTTGTTCTTGTTCTTGTTCTTGTTCTTGTTCTTGTTCTTGTTCTTGTTCTTGTTCTTGTTCTTGTTCTTGTTCTTGTTCTTGTTCTTGTTCTTGTTCTTGTTCTTGTTCTTGTTCTTGTTCTTGTTCTTGTTCTTGTTCTTGTTCTTGTTCTTGTTCTTGTTCTTGTTCTTGTTCTTGTTCTTGTTCTTGTTCTTGTTCTTGTTCTTGTTCTTGTTCTTGTTCTTGTTCTTGTTCTTGTTCTTGTTCTTGTTCTTGTTCTTGTTCTTGTTCTTGTTCTTGTTCTTGTTCTTGTTCTTGTTCTTGTTCTTGTTCTTGTTCTTGTTCTTGTTCTTGTTCTTGTTCTTGTTCTTGTTCTTGTTCTTGTTCTTGTTCTTGTTCTTGTTCTTGTTCTTGTTCTTGTTCTTGTTCTTGTTCTTGTTCTTGTTCTTGTTCTTGTTCTTGTTCTTGTTCTTGTTCTTGTTCTTGTTCTTGTTCTTGTTCTTGTTCTTGTTCTTGTTCTTGTTCTTGTTCTTGTTCTTGTTCTTGTTCTTGTTCTTGTTCTTGTTCTTGTTCTTGTTCTTGTTCTTGTTCTTGTTCTTGTTCTTGTTCTTGTTCTTGTTCTTGTTCTTGTTCTTGTTCTTGTTCTTGTTCTTGTTCTTGTTCTTGTTCTTGTTCTTGTTCTTGTTCTTGTTCTTGTTCTTGTTCTTGTTCTTGTTCTTGTTCTTGTTCTTGTTCTTGTTCTTGTTCTTGTTCTTGTTCTTGTTCTTGTTCTTGTTCTTGTTCTTGTTCTTGTTCTTGTTCTTGTTCTTGTTCTTGTTCTTGTTCTTGTTCTTGTTCTTGTTCTTGTTCTTGTTCTTGTTCTTGTTCTTGTTCTTGTTCTTGTTCTTGTTCTTGTTCTTGTTCTTGTTCTTGTTCTTGTTCTTGTTCTTGTTCTTGTTCTTGTTCTTGTTCTTGTTCTTGTTCTTGTTCTTGTTCTTGTTCTTGTTCTTGTTCTTGTTCTTGTTCTTGTTCTTGTTCTTGTTCTTGTTCTTGTTCTTGTTCTTGTTCTTGTTCTTGTTCTTGTTCTTGTTCTTGTTCTTGTTCTTGTTCTTGTTCTTGTTCTTGTTCTTGTTCTTGTTCTTGTTCTTGTTCTTGTTCTTGTTCTTGTTCTTGTTCTTGTTCTTGTTCTTGTTCTTGTTCTTGTTCTTGTTCTTGTTCTTTTTCTTGTTCTTGTTCTTGTTCTTGTTCTTGTTCTTGTTCTTGTTCTTGTTCTTGTTCTTGTTCTTGTTCTTGTTCTTGTTCTTGTTCTTGTTCTTGTTCTTGTTCTTGTTCTTGTTCTTGTTCTTGTTCTTGTTCTTGTTCTTGTTCTTGTTCTTGTTTTTGTTCTTGTTCTTGTTCTTGTTCTTGTTCTTGTTCTTGTTCTTGTTCTTGTTCTTGTTCTTGTTCTTGTTCTTGTTCTTGTTCTTGTTCTTGTTCTTGTTCTTGTTCTTGTTCTTGTTCTTGTTCTTGTTCTTGTTCTTGTTCTTGTTCTTGTTCTTGTTGTTGTTCTTGTTCTTGTTCTTGTTTTTGTTCTTGTTCTTGTTCTTGTTCTTGTTCTTGTTCTTGTTCTTGTTCTTGTTCTTGTTCTTGTTCTTGTTCTTGTTCTTGTTCTTGTTCTTGTTTTTGTTCTTGTTTTTGTTCTTGTTCTTGTTCTTGTTCTTGTTCTTGTTCCTGTTCCTGTTCCTGTTCCTGTTCCTGTTCCTGTTCCTGTTCCTGTTCCTGTTCCTGTTCCTGTTCCTGTTCCTGTTCCTGTTCCTGTTCCTGTTCCTGTTCCTGTTCCTGTTCCTGTTCCTGTTCCTGTTCCTGTTCCTGTTCCTGTTCCTGTTCCTGTTCCTGTTCTTGTTCTTGTTCTTGCTCTTGTTCTTGTCGCCGATTTGGTCGTCGTTGTCGTCGCCGTCTTCGACGTGGTTTTTGAAATGATAAAATTGTTATTGGTAATGATGAAGAATAACGTTTTACCATATTATGGCCATCTTTTGAATCATTATGATAATGAAAATCTTGCAAAGTTGAATTTATTAAATGTGTATGTATTTTGAATGTAAAATAGATGAAATTATGCGTGTAGTTAGTGGTTATACTGTATATAATTTTTGTATAAATTTCATTCATGTTTCTTAAATTTGTAGAGTTTACATTTAGATTACATGAAATAGTTCTGTTTTTTCGGTTATTATTCTGATTTTCTTTGCTCACGGGCTCATCATGTGCATTACTGTATTTGTTGTGATTAAAATTGACAACTTTATTTGATAAGGGTGACATACTTATATATTTGAAGATGATGGTTTTGCTTGTTTTTTTTGATGGACGTAATTTTTTCATATGTCCAGCTCTATTCGTGTACGTTAGTCGTGATGAAAACGCGTGCTTTATTGGCGTTATTGAAATATTCTTGGTAAATGAGATTGTCAAAAACTTTGTAATTAAAAAGTAATCTATTGAACTTTTGTAATCTTTATTAGCATAATTAATGGCAATAGAACTTTTCTTACTATTATTATTATTTTTATTATTATTATTATTAGTATTATTATTAATATTATTATAATTATTATTATTATGATTATTATTATTAAAATTATTCTCATTTTTATTATTATTATATTTATTATTATTACTGATTCTATTATCACGTTTGTTATTTTCATGATTATTATTGTTATTATTATTATGTTTATTATTATTATTATTATTATTATTACCACTATTGTTATTTTTTTTATTATTATTGTTATTATTGTTATTATTAATATTATTATTATTATTATTATTATTATTATTATTATTATTATTATTATTATTATTATTATTATTATTATTATTATTATTATTATTATTATTATTATTATTATTATTATTATTATTATTATTATTATTTTTATTATTATTATTATTATTATTATTATTATTGTTATTGTTATAATTATTATTAATATTGTTATTTTTAATATTATTGTTATTATTATTTTTATCATTATTATTACTATTATTATTATTATTATTAATATTGTTATTTTTATTATTATTATTATTATCACTATTGTTATTTTTATTATTATTGGTGCTGTTGTAATTATTAATTGTTTTTCTCGTTCTTGTTGATACTGATAACGATGATGGTAGCATAGTTGATATTATGTTTGTTTTAGTAAAATCAGCTTTTATTCGTGAATCTGTAAAAATGTAATTCCTTTTACTTTAATTTTCCTTTATTTTAATTAAAAATTTTGATCTAGTAATTAAAATTTATTTCATAGTACAGTGGAATATCATATCGAAGATATTTGAGGAATAATAATTCAGTTCGTATTATTAACATAAAATTTTAATAAAAGATTGAAAATTGCACTGAATGTTAAGAAGTTGCATTAAATCAACTTTGATATTGATGAAACTTACAAAACTTTTCTCTAGAAAAGCTATTAAAAACTCGTTTATTAAAAAAGTTAGAGTTGTTCAAAATATTTTTAAAACAAAAATTTCGTAATATCATTCTTTAAGAATGATATTACGAAATGTAATATCATTCTTAAAGAATGTGTCGCCTTGAACTGCAAGCTGTACTAGCAATGTTTAAGGATAACGGAAATCTAAAACAATACTAATTAAAGGATATCGGAAATCTAAAATTTGGATGAAAGGTATACTTTATGGTCTTTTGTATTTTTTTTTCGTCTCACAAAGTTCTTTACTTGTTGCTAGCACTGAGTATACCGTAGTGATTTGAAAAAAACATAACAATATATCTAAAAGCATAAACGGTTGACAATATGGCGGGTAATGACATAGTGAGCTATTTTGTACAAACAATGTCACTAAATGTTAAAATGTAACTGTTAAATTATAATATTTCGGTTATATTCAGAGCTCAAAAATATGAATGTGGATTCTTTCTACACGATTCCAAAAAAATTTGATGGGGCCAGCACATAACCGACCGCATTGTATATTGTCTAGTTAAGAGAAAGTGTTACGGAATATTATAAAAATGTCTGTTAAATCCTTCTTCCAATTTTTGAGCTCTCTTGAGCTCAAAATCTCTTAGTAGAGTTTCGCTTTGTGCTACCCGAATTCCTTGAAATGCTCGCCAGTTATTTTCGGTAACAACCAGAACTCAAATATCAAATTTCAAGAAATTCCATCAATTCGTTCCGTAGATATGGTGAAAAATGTAAAATCGGCCCGCACATCAGTTTTCGAGCCTTTCCAAAAAATTTATATGTTCATTGCTTTAATACGAGGAATTCATATATTAAATTTCAATGAAATCAGTTGATAATTTCTCTTTATATACACAAAAATGAATATTTGGCCCGTAGTAAACGTCTAGTTGCCGATGCCTGATCTTTCCAAAAAATTTACATGTTCATTGTTTTAATACGACGAATTCAAATATTAAATTTCAATGAAATCGGTTGATTATTTCTCTTTATATACGCAAAAATGTATATTTGGCCCGTAGTAAACGTCCAGTTGCTGACGCCTGATTTTTTGCAAAAATTAGGAGGTTTAGCGGACGGTCGAGCAAAGCATATATATAAAATTTCAAGTAAATCGGTTAAAAATTTCCTTCAAAATGGTCAAAAATGTAAAACAGGCCCGCTAAAAAGTGCAGTTCCTGATAGCCTGATATATGCCAAAAGTTTTATCATTTTACAAATACAGTTCATTTAAATTATAATTTCCATTATTATAAAATAAAAGTACCTCTTATTAGCTTCCATCATTATTCTCCATTCTGTTTGTCTTTTTAAAAATGTAAAACTTTAGAAATATAAAACTGACAGTAGTAAGGATATGGGGGTTCTAGACATTGGTCATCCTGAAGATATGCAAAATGATCTGTATGGGGGTTCTAGATATAGGTCATCCTAAATTTATGCAACAATGAGTGTGTGGTTTGTAGGTATAAAGTATATGGGGTTTTAGATGTGGGATTATAGCATACGTTTAGGATGGTACATGTGGTTGTTGTTTTATGTGAAAGTAAGCGGAAGTAAAATAGTAGAGCTCCACGTTGCGAGTAGAGTTAGCTTTATGTTGTTTTATGTAAAAGTAAGCTGGAGTGTGACGCTAAGAGTATGCATTGATGAAAATGTAAGTAAGGGTTTTGAAGTATGATTGATAGTAGAGCGCCACGTTGCGAGTAGAATGATCTTTATGTTGTTGTATGTAAAAGTAAGCGGGAGTGTGCTCCTAAGCGTATGCAATGATGAAAATGGAAGTAAGTTTTTTGAAGTATGATTGATAGTACAGCGCCACGTTACGAGTAGAATTAGTTTTATTTATAAGACAGCGCCACGACGTTACGAGTGTGAATTAGTTTTTCAATATTTAAAGTGAAATATGAAATATTTGTAGAGGAGGTTGTTGTCTCGGTTAAAAGTAGGTAATATTTTAAGTAAGAAATATTTTTTTATTTTAAATATTGATTGAAGAATTTAATATTTAGAATGAAGTATGCATTATTGATTGAAGTATTTAATATTTAGAATGAAGTATGCAATATTTATAGAGGGTTGTTGTCTCGGTTGAAAGTAGGTAAAATTGTAAATAAGAAAATATGTGGAGGGGTTGTTGTTTGGGTTAATGTTATAAGTTTTTTAAAAAAAATGTTAAATTTAAAATCTTTTTAAAATTAAAAAGTTCTTTAAGCTTGAACGGTAGGTTTAGAATTATTTTAACATTGACAACAATTTAAAAATTGATAGCACAGCACCACGTTACGAGTAGAATTAGTCTTTAATATTGATAATACAATTTAGATTTTTTTTTTAATATTGATAACACAGCACCGCGTTACGAGATGTATTTACTTCCTCAAAACAAAAGGTTAGGTTTAGAATTTGTCTTTTTTTTAAATTTTAAAAGATAATTAATACAATAATATGAATCTTATCATCATTATTTATTATGTCCAATGTCCATTAACTTAAATATTTTTTCGCGCATTTATAAATTAAAAAACTAAATTACTATAATTAAATCATAGTATATGTATGATTTAATATCAAAAGAACTGACATAAATAATAATATTGATAACACAACACCATGTTATGAGACTTAATTACTTCCTAAGAACAAGAGGCCAATCAATATGATGCCCTTATATGAAAAAATATTAGAAAAAGTGATTAGTACACAACTTGAAAAATACCTTGAAGAATACAATATCTTATGTGATGAACAGAGTGGTTTCAAAGGAAAACATTCCTGTGAAACGGCTTTAAATTTAGTCCTATATGATTGGAAAAGGGCTAAAGAGAATAATTTAGTGATTTGTGCAATATTTTGCATTCGAAACTGTTGATAGAGAAATTCTGCTGATGAAATTTGAAAAATATGGAATTTAAGCTAAGTTGGTTTAAAAGTTATTTCGAATGTAGAAAGCAAAAAACAATAATTGACGACAGATTATCTGAATCAAAATTTATTAACAATGGAGTTCCTCAAGGTGCAATATTAGGAGTATTAAGTTGTTGGATGTATGTTGTAGTAAAATAAATGAAGATCTGAATAATGTATTTGAATGGTTGTGTATGAACAAACTTAAATTAAATTTTGAAAAAACCAAATGTATGTTAATAAATGATAGAACTGGTGGCGTAGTTGATATTGGTATTAGTAATTGTCCAATAGAGAAAGTTTTTATTAATTAAGTATTTAGGAGTAATAATTGATGATAAATTGAATTTGGACAAGCATGCTGATTACATAGCATCCAAAATTGCGAAAAAGATTGGTTACTTGGGAAGACTGAGGAACCAGATAACAGAAAAATGTGCGAAAACCATATATAATTCAACAATTTTGCCTCATTTAGATTATTGTTCGTCTATATTGTTTCTTTGTGGTGAAAGTAAAAAAGAGCGTTTACAAATTTTACAAAATAAAGCAATGCGCATTATTTTAAGAAGAGAAAGAAGAACGAGAATTCAAAGTATGCTAAGTGAAATTAAGTGGATGTCAGTTCGTCAGCGTTTAAACTTCAATGTATTAGTGTTTGTGTTTAAGATGAAATATAATTTATTGCCGCAATATTTATTTCATTGTCTTAATTATGTTTTTGGGTCAACAAGCTACAATCTGAGATCATCGAACATGTTTAGATTACCATTGTTTCGTCGACAAAATACACAAAACAATCTATTTTATAAAGGGCTTCAACTGTTTAACAACTTACCGATCGTCATAAGAAATGAAACGTCTATTACAAAATTTAAAAACCTGTTGATTAAATATTTAACGTCAAATGATGAA